CTCTCCTACCGCACACGCCCTTACTTAGGCGTGTTTCCTTTACAAGCTCACGCCCCACATGGGCGTGTCTATCTCCATCAGAACACGCCCCATGTGGGCGTGTTTGGGTGCTATAGATTTGTAATTTTTTACAAAACGACAACTTATCCGTAATTTTTTATTAAAAAAGTAATAGATTAATTTTTTTGCCCACAAATGCGTGTTGGAGGAATTGGATTGTGCATTTCTAGGGAAGGTAACACTCTGGAGGATTAGTTAGTCAAGCAAGTTAGGTTTTTTTTTTATTATTAATTATAAATCACATGTATTTTTTACATCAATCAATATTGTTCAATTCAGGAACATTTATATTCTGGTGGGGCTAACTCTCCTAAAAGAAATTTTTTGTATTTATATGAATTTGAGAACAAGACCTTACTTATATGGAATCAAGTATGTACTACTTAAATCAACTCCTTTTAATCAAGAAGAATAGTTTTATAAGATTGGAAACTCAAGGATCTACCCTTAGAACAAAACTTTGGTGGAATGAAAGTATCCAAGTGGATACTTTCTTCTTTCACATTTGGAAAAATTTCAAATGTGACTGATTTTTTTTTGAAGTGTTAAAAAGAATTTCAAATGTGAAAAAAGGAATACTCCACCGTTCCCGACCAAAGTTTTGTTCCCACCCTTGCGGTGCTGGACTCTTTTGCATAATGATGGGATGAGGCTGGGTTTAACCCGCATGTGCCCCTGTATGCCTATAATTTTAGGGGCGTTTAAATTTCTTTTATATATCTAATAAATAAACAAATAAATATATAATTTTGTCGTTCAAAAGAAAAAAAAATACAATTGTAGCTCAGTTGGTGCCAGAAAACTGAGCAGGTATGGGTATGTTGGTTATTCAAGTTTGATGAGTCTCATAATTGTTAGTAATAGGTTAAGTGAAGTCCATATAAGTAGAAGGATCCATCTACCTAAAATTTTAAAGTCTTGGATTGAGACATGGTGCCGGATCCACTTGGTGCAACTAGTCTAACCTTAGCTTATTGGTGGTGGTTCCTCGTCACGGGCTTTCCTGGACCCGCATGACAATGGTATCTCCGGGATTGGCTCGAGCTATAGCTTGTTAATTGGCTAGAGGCGGGTTGAGTATTTGGGCCTGAGGTACTCGGTTGAAGGGAGTATGTCAATGTTGGGTTTCACACTTGAGGGGGAGATTGTTGGTTATTTAAGTGTGATGAGTCTCACATTGGTTGATAATGGACTAAGTGAAGTCCATATAAGTAGAAGGACCCATGTACTTAAAGCTTTAAGGTTTTGGGTTGATACATAATGTCGAATCCACTTGGTGCGATAGTACCCCAAGGCCCAAATACTCCACCCGCCTTCTTGCCAAACACTAAACTATATCAAGACCAACCCGACTTTGAAATCACTGTCAAGCGAGTTCAGGAGGAGACCATGGTGAGAGCATGTGTTCGTGTTTGATTTCCCCACTACCCGTCTTAGGGAGGGGTTAAAGCCTTAATCTCGAGACTCACTCCGAATCAGATTAGTCGCGAAACGATGAACCGATTGTAACATCTCCAAAAAAAAGAGGAAAAAAGAATACAATTTTTAAAATTTATTTATTATAATTGAAATTAAGGTATAAAATTTATAATAAAATTATAAAAGTTATATAAAAGTGAAATATGTTAAAATAATTTTATGATTTTGTATATTTAATACACATATAAATATTAAATTAAATTGTGTATAGAAAAATAATAAGCAAACCTAAATATTTTATGGATTCGCTTTTTCTGCAGTTACTGCAGATAAGTAATCTGCATTAAGTCCAATACGACGTCGTTTTGGGACGGAAGTCATGGTATTTTTATAATTTTAATTTTCAGGGTTATAATAGTCTTTATATTTATAATTTTTTAAGATTTCAATACCAAAACTACTTCGTTTTGCGAATAAATGCAGATAACTTACATGTAGTAACTGCAGAAATATTTTTTTCATATTTTATTACTAATAAACAAATCAAAATTATTTTATACAATTAATAAATTTCAAATATAAGTCTCTCTATCATATGATTGAAAGCACGTGTAAATTTATTTATATATAAAAAATTAGCAAAATATTCTATTTGCAACATTTTGATTTTAATTTTTTTTTAAATTTAATTTTAATACATTGTTAATATTAAAAAATTATATTATCATGTAAAGATGTAATAATATATCATTAAATGAGATAAATTATATAACAAGTAAATTTGGTTAAATAATATGATAAGATATGAAAAATCTTTTTACAGTGACAGGGTGTTCAAATTAAATTGTTTTAAAAGATTTTATCTATTGGATCAAGATTTCATAATACAGTCTACATTTAAAACAATATGACAAGATACCTAAAATCTTTTTAGAGTGACAGGGTGTTCAAATTAAATTGTTTTAAAAGATTTTATCTATTGATCAAGATTTCATAATACATAGTATTACATTTAAAACAAAACAGTTTTGATTAAACGATGGCAGTTCAGTTGGCGTTAAAAAAATGAGAGTAAAAATATATGTTCGATCCTCTTTAAAATTCTCTTTGGGTTGAGTTTAAAGCTTTAATTTTGAGACATACCTCGAATCAAATTAGTCACGAAACGATGAATTGATTGGAATATTTTAAAAAAAAAACTTTTTCTTTCGCCTTTGTACGAGGAAAAAAAAAACGGTGGTTGGTGATGTAAATGTGCATGTTGGTCTACAGTTAGAAAAGGTTGCCATCAGTACTCAACCTTTTTGTTTTTCTTTCATTGTGATGTTTATGTACCTGTTAATTACCAATCGATTTGTTAGGAATGTGAAAGATATGACAATTGAACGAATCATATAATTTTATTCTGACTTCTGGTTTCATGATTTATTATAACCTAATAAACCTATCACTATATTGGAGCCGACAAGGCACACTGTTGATATGTTTCGGCACCGATTAAGCACCGAGCGTCAACTCAAAATTTATAGTTCATTGGTTAAGTAGGTGTAACCACTAACAAATCACCCTTGACTACAATATTTTATTAGAAAGCTCCAATCATTAATCAACAATTACTAATTTAATTGGTAAAGAGTTCATTTCCCTTAATAAGTCTCCAGTTAGACTCAAGAGTTATTTCAATCATTAGCATAAGGAAAACTGGTTAATTTTATTAAAGAATAAAACTTATATAAAGTTTTTTGAGTGTTTGTGGTCCTATTATTTAGTGAAAATGTAACTTTTGTATTTCTTTTGGTTACTTCATTTATATTTTTAAAAATTTCCTCTTGATATGCAAATATTATACACATATTATATTTTTATTAGAACAAGAAAAATTCCTACTCTACATCATTCAAGATGTGTATTACTTGAATAACATTTTCAATGTTGATTATATTGCGTACGTTATACATTAAATAATTCAGAGGAAATATCACTTCAATTTCTCTTTAACGGTAGAGTATCACAAGTTTATTTATGGGTTTTATAATTCTCGTTTAACATGAGAATTCAAATTTTTCTATACACCCTTCGATTTCTGTGCTGATATGGGTCCTATATATACTTTTTCTAACATATAGATCCAACATGTTTTTTATCTCTATCGACGGCGGACCCACATAGGGGCACATGTCCGCACTTGCGAACATGAAATTTAGATTTTAGATTTTTTTTTTTTTTTTGTTATATGTCCTTATGTGTCTCTTGTTCAATATTTATATTAGTCAATGTTAATTTTGCAATACAGATATTAAATACTTATTTTGTGTTGAGATTAAATGTCAATTATGGGATAATAATGTTTTTCATTTAGTAACTGAAGAGATAGGATGACTTGATTTTCTGAGTTTACACACTTCAATCGCTCAACTCAATAATCATTGGACATAACTTCACTGTCATACTTGCTTCACTAGTAACATCTAATTTATGAAAAAATTGTTTGTCCTTTTAAATGACACAACTTGTGTCATTTCACTCTCACAAAAAGGTGGAACCCACACTTTTTTTTTGTCCACTCTCTCCTCCATGATCTATCTCTTTCTCTCACTTAAAATGATACAATTTTATCTCCTTTAAAATGATCCATACTTTTTCCTTAATTTGTACATCATTTTTTACTAATTTATATTTCTATCTGCCTAGAATTGCTATTTATCGTATATGTTTTTCTTACATTGATAAGTCAACTTCTCCATGTGAAAGTTATATCAAAAAAATTTCGGGGACGCTGTCCCCGAACCCCCGCCACTTAATGTGCAGACATGAACTTTTTTTCTTGGGTCCGCCACTGATCTCTATAACATAAGATTTCAATTCTCATTCAACATGAGAATTATAAAACCCTTTATTTATATATTATAATGGATTAGTGTTTGTCTTTTTAAAGATATAAAATTGTGTCATTTTAAGTAAAAGAAGGAGACACGTAATTGAAAATCATGGAAGGAGAAAGTGAAAGTTTTTTTAATTTAAATTTTAAATAAAATACAATAGTTTTAACTAAAAAATCATCGTTTAAAAGGACAAATATTTTTTATATATTAAAAGTAAAAAAAAATTACTTTTAGACTTGGAATGCTTGGCACATGGCTCCCGACACAGCTCCAACTACCCCTAGGTCCAGTTCTGGTTGCACCAGAAACACGCTTATCCGGTTCCGGTCCCTTTAGTTAGGCCTTTACATCTTAGTGCATCTAATGATTTGCCTAAGTCGTAGACATAAAGCTAAACGAAAATAAGGTTTTTTCTATGTAATTTCCCCCCTCCGTGTTAACAATCATATATATACCTTTAAAGCCAAGCTTAGCTTTAAAATACCTAAGGAATAAACTTAACGCATGAAGAACTTAAAAAGTCTTCACGGGAATATATTTAACTATTCGCAACTTGCTTTGTGCATCCCGTCGTACATTGCTTATAAATTTCAACTTCATGACCCAATAGTTTCCATTGAGCCAAATAATACTAACAACGGAACTCATGAGGCTCATTTCAACTCTCCTCCTCTTGCTACTAATCACGGTGGGATCCTCCTCTGCCTCTCCCACTAGTTGGAGGAAAAGGGTTCGTGAGCCATGCAAGAGGTTGGTGTTTTACTTTCATGACATTGTTTACAATGGTCACAATGCCAAGAATGCCACTGCAGCCATTGTGGGTGCACCCGCAATGGCCAACAGGACCATATTAGCAGGGCAGAGCCATTTTGGTGATTTGGTTGTTTTTGATGATCCCATAACACTGGACAACAATTTACACTCACCTCCTGTTGGACGTGCTCAAGGGTTTTATATATACGATAAGAAAGATATTTTCACTGCTTGGCTTGGTTTCTCTTTTGTGTTCAACTCTACAGAGCACAAGGGTAGCATAAACTTTGCCGGTGCTGACCCTTTGATGAATAAGACTAGGGACATTTCCGTAATTGGAGGGACTGGTGACTTCTTCATGTCTAGGGGAGTTGCTACTCTCTCAACGGATGCCTTTGAGGGTGAAGTTTATTTCAGGCTTCGTGTGGAAATTAACTTGTTCGAATGTTGGTAATTTAGCTTGAGAAGAATCAGCCAATTATTCCGAGAGAAATTAACAACAATGTCTTCTTTATTGCTTCTCTTTGTTCTGTCATTTATCTTTTTTCTTCTTCTTTTTAATGTATTGGAGGGAAACGACGTTGGAGTACGTTTTGTCATATCAAACTTTACTAGATATGTATGACGGCGCCACACCTTAATTAAGGTCAATGTCGTAACTTATCCTCCTTTTCGAAATTAAATAATGTCTGATGGTATGTTATTGGAAGGTTGATTTCTCTTATTATTTTTTTCTCATCATCTCAATTTTCTTAATGTACATTTGAAATTCGGCTCAAAATCAAGTAAAATGCCCTGTCTAATGCCTTCTGAAATTTAATAATTATGATTTCGTATAACAATTGAAATAAATTAAAGAAAAACAAATAAAACTTTCATTCATATTACATAAAGATATATTTAGTTATTTACTGCGTGGTTTGTATTCTGTTTTGTGTTAAATACGTAACACTGCAAAGGAAACTTAAACTTGGCTGGGCTGACCGTTGATGAACAAAACTAGAGATATACTTGCGGTTGGTGGCACCATTGACGACTTTACAGCGATAAAAAAATATAATAAAATTGTTCTGGACAGGTCTCCCAGTCCAAAGCTACGAAATAATTCTGGTAAATTTATTTAAGGAGTTACTTTTATATATATATATATATATATATATATATATATATATATATATATATAAAAGTAAAAATTAAATACCTAATTGTTAGGTTGTTTCTAGATTATCACAGGGAGTAGAAAGAAGAACAGAGAAGAGAGAATTGAGAGGGAAAGATTGTCAAACTTTTCATGCTTTTCTCCTTGCTCCCAAGAGCTTTAATATCACTTAACAAGTCTGTAACTAACTCAAGGGTACTATTCCCTGATTGTTCACCCTATTACAACTCATGGATTATCACGTTAAAATAACGACAAAAACTAAAAGGCTTATTCAGTATTCTCAGCAGCTGTACTGATCCAAATAGCTGGGCTTCTTAATAACCCTTCTGGGTCTACTAATGGGCTGATCCGTAACATTCCCCCCTGGTTAAGAAAGCACCTCATCCACGAGGTGAGTAGAAGATGGGCTGTCCGAGTCAGGGACTGAAGGGGTGACAGCTAGTGGGTTAGGTGGCTGAAGATTGCGATGTGTGGTTGAGAATGAAAAGGGGGTGTGAGATATTTTCTGGTCGATGGGGCTAAGTGGGGAATTATGTCTCACCGTAGTGTCTGAAACAGAGGACTCTGATGAAATTGAGTCAAGGCGAGTAGGATGGGTCAAGTTCAGGGCTTTATGATGGTTTTGTGGGGCTGGTTGGGTGTTTGGGGAAGAAAATTCCGATTTTGGAGGCCTTGGCGGAAGCACCGGTAACATGGCTGGATTTTCTCGGACCTCTTTCTCATCCTCCCAGGTTGAATCTTCCGGGGGTAGACTATCCCACTGTATCAACACTTGTGGAATTTGGATGTTGTTGCGCCAAATAGTCCGAGTGGCCACCACTGCCTTGGGTTTATGAATGGGTCGAAACTCGGCTGGAGAAAATGGGAGCTGGTGGATCTGAGGGCGTTGGTCGGAGTTAAAGGGTCGGAGTAAGGCCACATGAAACACCGGATGGATGCGTGAAGTGGCGGGTAGTTCCAACCGGTAAGCTACTGGTCCAATGCGTGCGGTGACGGTGAAAGGGCCATAGTACCTGAGGCTGAGCTTGTGGTTAGATCTCCGGTGGACTGACAGTTGCCTATAAGGCTGGAGCCACAACAGCACCTAATCACCCACTGTAAAGGTAATGTCTTTTTGCTTTTTATCAGCCACTGCCTTCATATGTTGTTGTGCTCTGATCAAATTTGACTTTACGCGTGCAAGGATATCGGCTCGTGATGTCAGTTCAGTGTCAACCGCCTCATTTGCTGAAGAGCCCAAGGTGTAATCTAACATGTTCGGTGGGGGCTTGCCGAAAATGACATGATAAGGGGACATGCCCGTAGAGCGGTGGTTCGTGGTATTGTAGTGGTACTCTGCCCAAGCTAAATGCTTTACCCAAGAAGAAGGATAATCATGTGCAAAGGCACGAAGGTACAACTGTAAACTTCTGTTGAGTCTTCCTATGACCCCATCTGTTTGCGGGTGGTATGTTGAGCTGAACCGGAGATTGGTTCCGTGCAGGGTAAAAATTGATTGCCAGAAGTTACTCAAGAAAATGGGGTCCCTGTCTAATATGATCGAGTTGGGACTGCCATGCAGTTTACCAACAGTGTTCCAGAAGACCTGTGCTACCTTGGACGCTGTATAGTGAGGTGGCAGAGGAGCGAAATGGGCACCCTTTGAAAAATGGTCAATCACAACTAGGATGTCAGTAAATCCCGAAGAACTGGGAAGGTGAGTAATGAAATCCATCGCCAAATCCGTCCAAATTTGATTAGGGGGAAATGGGTTGTAGCAGTCCCAATGGACAGTGATTCGATGGTTTGATCTTTTGGCAGATTTCACAATTCTGCACAAATTTTGTTACATCTCTTCTGATTGATCTCCATATGAAATTTTGATGTATGCGTAGCAGTGTGCCCTTGATTCCCGAATGTCCACCTTGTACTGAAGAGTGTAAATCCTGTAGCAGTTGTGGAATTAACTGAGAGTTGGCCGGTAAAAACAGTCTCCGACGATGAAAAAGCAAATTGCCTTTGAAGCGCCATTGGGGTAGGGCAGCGGGATTGGTGTTGAGGGTATGGATGATGGAGGAAGCATACGAGACACTTGTTAGTTCTGCCTGTAGATCAGAACCATAGTTGCTTGTTGGACTAGTGAGTGCACATAAAACTGGGACAACTCCTTCCTGCTGAGTATCAGGATGTCTGGATAAGGCATCGGCCACCTTGTTGGATCTACCAGACTCGTGGACGATGGTGTAATGAAAACCCAACAGTTTGGAGAGAAATTGCTGATGCTCAGGTGTCTGGATCACCTGGTTCATCATGTTATGTAAACTATGATGATCAGTGCAAATGGTGAAAGGGACGCCGAGAAGATACTGATGCCACTTAGCCACTGCTGACGTAATGGCAAACATCTCTCTTATGTAGGTGGATTTGCCTTGCATAGTGGGAGACAATTTGCGGCTGTAAAAGGCTATGGGGTGGCCTTTTTGTAATAAGACAACACTTATTCCAACACCGGAAGCATCAGTTTCAATGATGAAGGGTTCCTTAAAGTTAGGGAGAACCAGAATGGGGACGGATGTGAGCTTATGTTTAAGATCGTGGAATGTTGTTGTTGCTTGGACCGACCAATGGAAGCCATCCTTGGTGAGTAAACAGTCAGAGGGCTTGCAATTTGGGCATAGTGCTTGATGAATCTCCTGTAATAACCGAAGAGGCCTAAAAACGTGCGAACTTGGGTGACTGACTTTGGTGTTGGCCATTCTGCTATGACCTGTAGCTTTTGTGGGTCAGGCGAGACACCCTCCCCTGAAATGAGATGACCTAAGAAGTGGATGGTATGCTGGAAGAACAAGCACTTAGATAATTTGGCATAGAAGGAGTGTTGTTGTAATGTAGTGAGAACAGCAGCTAAGTGTTGAAGATGCTCCTGCAAGTTGTTACTATACACCAGAATGTCATCAAAAAAATAACCACAAAACAGCTAAGATAGGAGGAAAACACCTCATTCATGGTTGCCTGAAACGTGGATGGAGAATTGGAAAGGCCAAATGGCATTATCACATTAAAATAACGACAAAAACTAAAAGGCTTATTCAGTATTCTCATCAGCTGTACTGATCCAAATAACTGGGCTTCTTAATAACCCTTCTGGGCCTACTAATGGGTTGATCCGTAACATTAATCTAATACAACCTACCCAAACTCTTTGTCACTAAATGGCTTAAGTAGTTACTTTCTTATCTCCCTAAAAGTAAAATTTTTAGACACTACTAATAAAGGATCTTTCACTCCCTCATAATAGTAGTGAAGTTTTAGGCAAAACAATTATGACTTTCTATCTGTAATCATTGAGGAATATTTTCTATCTATATGTATCCCTTTGAAGAGTCATTTTGCATTTATTATTTTTATGAGTTGTTAGTCAGCTAAAATATTGAGACACCATGCCCTAACATGTTCCTCCTCTCTCAACTACCTTTGAGATATTGACACAGTGACTCATAGAGGTGAAAGTGGGCCGGCCCGGCCTACAGAGGCCTATGACCTAGCCTATATTAGGCTGGGCTTGGCCTATTACATATAGTCAAATAGAACATGACCAGACTTTTAAAGAAGCCTATTTAGAAAGTAGGTGATAGGCTTTTTTTTTACATGCCCGACCTATAAGCCTAAATGTCGTCCTATATCATATTATTTATTTTAAATAAAATAAAATAAAATAATATTATTCATAGAACTACCAAATGGTGTTAGTGCATGTGAGCTAAATAGGTGGTGGAAGGATCTAAGTTCGTTTCCTCACCAATACTATCTTTGAGAGTGACATAAGATCTGTACCAATCTCTACAGTACCATCAGAATCAATATTTAGTGCTGGAGGAAGAGTTATTGATGCCTATCGTTCTAGCTTGGCTGAAGATACCATCCAAGTTTTAATATACGGCGGAGATTGGCTACATAGTATGTGTGACTTGAAGAAAAAATAAAAGGTATAAATTTAATCAATTAAAATTATTTTATAATTTAATTATATTCGATTAAATTTTAATAGAAATTTGACTTTATTTTTATGTAGAAGGAACCAACATCTCAGAATGTGAGATTGCCTATATGAGTCTATTAAAAGCAGCACGTCACTTTATTTTTTTGGCTACTACAAGCATCATGATGTGTTTGTTATATTCATGTAGTTATTTTAATTTACATAGTATAGATTTGTTTGTTGGATCTGATGAAATATATGTTATTTAGTTTGAGCATTTTGCTTTTGAAAGTGACTTAAATGCAGATTGTGATGAGTTTTGTTGTGATTCATG